CCCCAAAACCCCAAAACCCCAAAACCCCGAAATGAAGTGTACTTGAGTTTTAAGAAACTAAATAAAAATAACAATATAGAAAACTATATTATAATAACCATCGATGTTCGAATCTAGAAATAAATAAACACCCAAAGGAAAATCAGAAAGAAGCATTCAATTTGGGTTTGACACAGACTAGCAAATATTTAAAAAGAATGTAAAAGCCTTTAAGATTTTAAAGTTGAAAGACTTCGATGGCAAGATATAGATTATTGATACCAACACTGTATCACATTAATCATTCAAGGCTTAGACAATTAGTACTTAAGCATCAACACAGCAACAGCCAAAATTCTTCAAAATTTTAAGGCAGTCATTAAATACATAAAATAGTGAAATTTAGACTGGTAATCCATAGAGACCCTTTACCCAAACATAGAATGTGAGAATGAGAAACTCTAGCTAGGATTTTAAGAATACATTAGAGTTCGATTTAAGAGGAATGAGCTAGTAAATGAGAATGACTGAGACAAGACAACACAGCAGAGAAGAATATAAAAGATTAATTACTACACCAGTAGGGGGTGAGTATTCTCACCCTTTTATAAATCAGAAAGCCTAAATTATCTAATAAACTACTAATGATAATACCTATAAGAATGCTCAGACTGCTATCAATCAAATCAATCAAAGAGGAAGATAAAGTTCTAAAAATTTGAATGGTGGACACTCTAGCTCTTAAAGAATAATGTTTCATAGCCAAGACAAGAGATAAAATCCATTTCATGCTGAAAAAGATTTTAACATGGAATCAGAATTTTTATTCTTAGATATAAAAAGTAATCTAGATACAGCAGGTAAAAAGATGAAATATATGACTCATCTCGAATAAGAGTTTGAGATACTGAATTTCCAAATGTTTTTTGGAGTTTCTAATGATGAAATTAAAAACTCGCAAGGTATGAATTCTCCATCAAGTGATATGTTTGGTACGTCAAAGACAGGTACTCCAAATAGTTTCATCAAGTTTGACAAATCAGGAACAAGGGTTAAAGGACCCTCTAGCATAAGATCACTTTTTCATGATACGAATGAGCTTTTCCTTAAATTATAGAAGGGAGATGAAATGAATTTTGGTCGGTCGGAGTTTGATTATCACTATTAAAGACAGATTGAAGCAGATATACTAGATATTCAAAGAAGATACAGAAGATATGTATAGTATATTATCAAGGAATCTGGATTTATGAGTGCTGTGGTCATAGATATGCTATGGAAATCCTTAATGTTAAAAGTAGATTAATATCTCATGCTTATGAATACTCAAACTACAAGAGAAAAAGACAAACAAAGTAAAGAGTTCTTAAGAAATCTAGAGGAAAAGCAGCTGAGAGAAAAAGAAATTGAATAAGAAATATAGGAAACAACTATGAGATATGAATTGCAGATTAAGCATATGAACTAATAAATCAAAGATTTGAGCTAGCAAAGGTTTGTAGCAGAGAAATAACTTGAGGATTTTAAATAGGAGCTAGAATCTCTAGAGTAGGGAGAAAATAGAAGATCTACATTAAACCATTTCGGTGAAGTCTGCTCTAATATAAATCTGTTTATAAATAAGGTTTAGAGTGAACAAAGAGTAAGATAGAAAACGCTACAAAAATTAGAAGCATTAATGAGTGCTGATCGAGGGTTTGTAAGATTTAATCAATTAAAATATTTCATTAGCTGAGCAAGAATGACCTAGGGATACAAACAGAATTTACTCAAATCAAGGGATCTAAGGTTGGCAAAATCATGTTTAACCCTCATAAATAATCAAACATCGCTTCAATTTTGAATGTAATCTTAATTTCTTAGGGTTTTATATTATCATAGTATCATGAGAAAAACTTAGAATATGGGGATTTATTAAATTAAGAAGAGACTGAGAAATATTGCGATTAATTTTTTGAAAAATTCCCTGAACTTTTATCAAAAGAAGGAAGCAAAATTACTTTTGAAGATCTTATTCTAAAATATTCACTCATAATGAGAGAAAACATTGTGAATACAGCTAATTTCCTATATCAATTCTTTAACGTAATTACTAGTGCTATCAAAAAACTATTATAGAGTGTTACAGTCTATGCTAAAACGAAATCCAGCCCGTAATGTATATTAATGAAGCAACTATTGAGATTCATTTCAGATGAGAAAAAACTTGATTCAAAGTATATTGAAATGAGCAGTAATAATGGACTAGTTTATAATACGCTTAATAACATGAAAAACTTTGAAGAAAAACTGGCAATTGTTAACTTATAAAAAACTAGGAAAATTGAATTCAAAAAGCTTTTCCAAATATTCTCCACCTACTACAAAGATGTAAGGTTTGTTTATTTATATTTTTTACAGAATAAAAGTCTAGTCTCAAAAATATTATATTCAATGGTCTTTCAGGCAAAATACTACTAGAAATTTTAAACAAATATGTTGTTTGATGGAGCTGATGGTATTTTAAATCATCAAAGTCACACTGCGTATTTAACCAAGCAAGGTCTTTCAGATTTCAAAATAAGATCTCTTCTGGAAAATTTAAAAGATGAGTTTATTAATAGCTCAACCTTACAATTTTTATGCTAATGGCAGATGTAGACACTAAAAGAATAAATCTGCGTTAAAAATTTAGAGATTTTGATAATGACAATAGACTTAAAGTCTCAACCTAGCAATTTCAAAAAGTCCTTTTGAAAGAAACATATCCCTCATAATTCTAAATAGATTTAATAATAAAGTACTTTGATCCGTAACTTATATATATATACAAGTAATAAATCGATATTTATAAATCTTAATATTAAGAAAATCGAATTAAAATCGGAAATTTCAAAAATAAAAATTTTGAATTTAATTAATATAATTAACGGCCAAATCGATAAATGGCTAACGTGGTTCTAGCCTAACTTTTTCAAATTTTAATTCATGTCCACCTAGGGTGATATATAATTAAGTTGATTATTAATATTTATGTTTATGATTTCATGCATGCCCTTAGTCTAGCAATCTCGTTGCACTTTTCGAAGAACCACCATATTCCATGGTCGTCGTTAGTTTTCTTCACATGATCTCCATCATCAACCGACATCTTCATCATCTGCCATGTCGCCATCATCCATGGTGTCTTGTCGACCAACATCGTTTCAACTGCAATAGCAGTCGAGATAGTGACCCTGGTAGGGCATCTGATTATAATTCACAACTAGGTCATGCTAGAGTGAGGTAGTGCTCAGTTATGAAGAATTCTGTGGAATTCATGGTTGTTAAGAATTTGCTGGGTCAAGGTCCAGGGAAAATTTGGCTGGAGTTTTTATGGTCCCTGCAGGTTTAAGTTTAAAATCCTTACTAGTCCTAGGGAATTTAATTAAAGACCCAGCAGGATGTTAAAATTAGTAAGGAAATTAATTAAAATTCAGGTTTTATTAAACCAGGTGGACCTATTAAAGTTAAATTTGTCAAGAATTAATCGCTAGAGCCAGGTCTAAGGCCAAATTCTTGGGTGAACCTGGGAGCCATTTTCAATACTTTGGAGCCAGGTCTGGCTGGACCCAGTGTTTCGACCATAACTCCTCAACCACCAACCTCCACTGTTCCAGGCCACCTTACCCAACCATTCTGGCCCTAGAGCTATCGAATGATATGGAATTCACCAGGGGTGCATGGGTTTGAAATTTTTCGAAGTCATAGATTGACCATCATCTTCTCTACTTTTTCTACAAGATCAATATCACTCATTACCCATTTCTAGGGTCAAAATTGAAATGAAATCCACCTAGTTCGTACACTTAGGCGTTTCAAGCCTCCTATCATCTATACTCATATACCCCATGGGTCAGCTCACAACTATCATAGGTTGAGCCAGTACCACTGCTGGTGGTTCATGAGATAGGGAGTGATCATTGCCGATTTTTTGAGACCATGGCTCCCAGGTTCGGCCTAGGTTTGGCTCCCAAGTTCGGTCCAGATGGCTCCCAAGTTCGGGGTCCAGAATGAACTACCAACTCTCACAGGGATGTGAGTTAGAACCCATCATTACAGCAGCTTACTAGACCCTAGTGGGAGAGTGCAAATAATCAATTAGAAGTTGTGGACCACAGGGGTAGGAGAGTTGAGATGTCGACAAGTCTGGACCAACCTGGCTCTCAAGTTCGATTTGACTTTTGACTTTTCAGGTCCACCTGGACCCAATAATTTGATGATTCAGAGATGTTGCCAGCACTAGCTGGTTGTGAATTCGAACCAGCTCTACCTAGTGGTGAGACACCTATATGGTTGCAAGAAATTGCAATTCAGGTTTGTCGAGATGACAGAGTAAGGGGGGTCAAGACATTAAAAATGTTTGAATTGTTGAATATAGTGGGTTGACATTTATATATTGTTAATTGATTTTATAAATTACCCTACATCACTTATGGCACCCATGTGCCTCAGACCGAGCCATATCTGATAGTTTCAATCCATTTCTTGAGACTGAACACCCAGAGGCTCTCGACGTCCTGCTGGGTCATGTTCTTGACAATGTCTGACACTCTCTAGGCCAGTTGAATTCTATAGGGTAATCAAGGGTAATCTTACTTGTTCTGAGTCTTTTCAACATCCACGTGCTTCTTGATGTAAGAGAACAACTACTCCACTGGGTTCAACCAGGGTGAGTACTCTGCATTGAACAACACATCCACCTTCAACTTCCTAGCAGTCTTGAGCACCGTGGAGTGCTTGTGTATCACTGCGTTGTCCATGAACAAGAGCAGTCGCTTTCTGCAAAGTTCCTAGTCCACCCTGATGCTGTGAAAAGTATGGTACACGAAGTCTTCAAACAAGGTGGAATCAATCGAACCCTCCACGATCTAGGTGCCCAGCACCTGGGACTAGCTTATTGCAGAAATCAAAGATAGTGAATACTGCTTGGGAGCACTACCTCGTTTGGCTCGAGACACCTCTCGAGTGGTTGCCCCATATCTACCTAGTAGTTCTTGAAGCTAATTGCCATATTGTCTCTATCTCTCAAGCAACTCATTTTGAGGACCACCACCCTCACTCTCACTAGACAATTGTAGTTCCTAATCCACCTCAAGGTTATCATCTGCAACTATAATCTAGTCGACTACATGGGTCAAGACATCAAACTTACCAGGTTGTGCAGGCGATTGAGAACCAGGTCCTGCACTGTTGAGTTGAGATCTTAAATTCCTAGGAATTAATTAATTCTCGAGTAAGGTTACTCCAACAAGTCCACTATCATCTACAGCTCGTCTAGGTGTAGACATCAGTTCAAGCTTCTGCATCTTGGTGGTGAGAGGAGTCTGCTGTGGCGAAGTGAACTTGTTGATCAAGTTGGTGGGGGTGAGTTGTCTTGATGGTGGTTTCACCACAGCCTCAGGACTTGTGAGCTAGAGGTTGATCATCAGTTTGCGAACAGTTGTCTTAGCCTCAGGTGACTCTTCAACTTCTTAGATTGTGTCAAGGTCGTGCCTCTATCTCTTGAGAGGCATATGGTAGAGGTGGTTGGGCACGATTCGCTAAGGCGTTTCTTGAAGTTGCTGGTGCAAGAGTGAGGTGGACCTGATAGAAGAGTTTGAACTATCATCATTGCCACTGGCAAATTCATCATTGCTTGATGCTAGTGGGTCCACGAATTTGTTCAACTGGTTGCCATACTGCAGGAAGTCCTCACTCGCAAAGACCAAACTCTTGTTGAGAGTAGGGTTGGCCTCTGGCCTCTTATACTTGTAGTTGGGCTTCAAAGATGATTAGTTGAACTGCCACTACCTGGTTGGCAATGAGTCAAATCGAAAGTTGCTCTCATCAATGCACACTATGATGAAGTCGTCGTACATGAGTTGCGCAAGCAACCTACTTGTCCACAATCGTTTCTCGTTGTAGGTGGGATCTCTGTACTTGAGGTTTGCTGCTTGCAACCTACCATACCTGAGAAGAAAAGTCTCGTTCATGATCTTGAGTAAGGTACTGCATGATGGAATTTTGAGATTGCTTGGCAATTGACCTTATCCTGAGAGTGTTGTAAGATACAGGTGGACCTTCGAAGCTGTGATATCGTAGATGCCGTTGGCCTTCACATATGCCTCAATGGCATCAAGCAAGATAGGGTTGTCTCTTGACTTCTTTCTACCAGGCTTTGCTGGAGGATGAGGGGGGTTGTTGATTCGCTTGACATCCTTCTTGAACTTGGCCACACTATCGTAGACTGAGTCTACTGAAATTCTCAACTTCTTTGCAATAGTGCTGGGTTTCAACTCATCAACCATGTACATCTGTACTGCTTGATATTTCTTGGACAGTTGCTTGGCCTTCCTTCGATTCAAGAAGGGATGTTCCTCTGGTGGTTGAGTAACAGGAGGAGGTTATTGCAGTTTATAGTGTAGACTCTGAAATCCTTGCTGGACCAAGGTCCTTCAACTGGGATCTAAGTTATCAAAGAGTGGTGAATTCATGAGACCAAGCACATCTGCTGCTTGTTGCTTGAGAACTTGGTTCCTCACCCTACGGGACTTGATCTCTATCAAGTAAGATTCAAGATACTAGAGAAGAGTCTCATCACTGAGGAGGTTCTGGAAAGATATGTTCTTTTGCAGATATGCAACAATGTTGTTTGGATCAAGTTTGATGATTACACCACCTAGGACTTCACTCACAACTTGAGGAATACTTCCAGTATTGAGAGACCTAGCTGTGTTGTACTTTAGTTTCTTTTTAGAAACTGTGATAGGGAAGTCTTGGCCAAGGAAGACACTGAGGAGGATGGTGACTCTCTTGTCTTTAGAGTTCACCTTACTATCCTTGATGATTTGCAAGGGTTGTGACTTGAAGAGTTGGTCACTGATGATGGATAGGGAGCAGCTCAAAGAATCGAGTTTGTTTCGATGCTGCAATATGGTGGGTGGTGCACTTTCATATGAAGAGTTTTCGCGAGAGTGAGATTAGTCACTCATGTTATTAGATTTATATTAGAATAATTATTATATTTCACCTTCTAATTCAGGGTAATCTGGGTCTTAATTGTTATAGGCACTAATGCCTAATTATAATTATTTATTAATTCAACGACCCAGGTATATCTACAGAAGGTAATGTTTATAATTAAAACTGTCCTATTATAATTAAATCTATTATTTTAATCAACCCCATGGATCAACCTTAGTAAAACAAGGAATCCCTTGATGTTAGGTAGATGGGCCAGAGAGAGTAGTTAGAACCACCCATTGATGAATCCAACCCTGCTCACTCAGAGCCAGACTAATTTGAATTATATGTGGTGAAAGGATTTGACTTAGACCCTAGCCTAGCCAATGAAAATCAACTGAAATTATGGGAATTAATGTATGGAATAGGCCTAGCTGGGAACATCTTCGTGGTGTTTGTCAAAGAAATGAATGACCCACCTGAACTACAAAAGAAAATCAAATTATTGAGTTTGATACTCAATGGTAGCTGGTTCAGGTTGAATCAAATCTGCTAGTTCTTGAAGGAGAACGAAAAGTTGAAGAATGAGGACATCCTGAAGAACACCATTTCCAAGATCATCGTATCTCTCAACAATCCATTGGACCTCCTGGATTCTTTCCCTAAAGGCTTAATGAATCAATTATACAAGCACGATACCTACTTCTACAATTTCTAGATCTCGAACCTTCAGTAGTGCCAGGGTAACCTACTGTAGTTGATGGAGACATCTCATGTGCCCTATGTCAAGAGAGTAATTGAATATAATAGAGAATGTATTTATTTGGAGAATGGCCCTTACCTAAGCTTCATAAACTACAGGCCTGCTGGCGACTCTAATAAGAACAACGATCCTAGTGGATTGTAAATTTAGTTTTCGCAAAATCAAGTAGATAAGGATGTGGAAACCATTAAGACCTTGACCCCTAGTTAGTTAAATCTTATGAGTAAATTTAGTTTCTTAAAGAAACCAACCCATATAGAACTGCAAGCAGTCTAAAGTAACTCTGCAATAACCAATGTCACCTTGGCTAATGATGAGCAAGACAAAAAATTCGAGTCTAATGACTAGCAAGATAATCTTGATCTTCAATCACCAGGTTCTATATCCAGCTAGACCTTATCCTAGGGCAAAAACAATCTTTTCAAAAAGTAAGATGATTGCATAATTAAGGTTAGTGCTGGTCTTGGGCCTTAAATGTATGGTAATGCTCCTCAAAGTGAAGAGGAGTAGAAGCACATTGGTGGACAAGGTGGTCTGAAAGGCAATCATGGCGAGAAGACAATTGAAAATTCACAACATAAGATTGTAAGAATATACTATTCTCTTAACCTACCTATCTCTATAGTTATATTTCCTAGATGTACCTTCAACTTAAACCAAATACCTGGGTCCTGCTGTTAATGTTCTCCAACAAGATATATTCCCCCTGGGCAAGTCTAATGAGAAAGATATTGCAATCAATTCAAAGGCCTAAAATGAGGAGGTAGTACTACCTCTGTAGAATCAGAATGATCTCAAACTACCAGGCTTGCAGAATCAATAGGATGAGGTAATCCTCTAACTTTTAATCTGAATTCATAGTCCTAATACTAGGTGGATGTGGAAGATATTGAATAAGCAATGGTGGATGTAATTGAGCCTAACCATATACAGAACTTGGATTCAGCTAGTGAAGATGAATTCGATGCAGGGTAAGCAAATCAACTGAGCAAGCTTGATCAAGACAACTTGCTTGAGGAATCAAAGAATGTGGTGGTTGAAGAAGAGATACAGAAGTTGCCTAATTGTGAAGATGGGTAGGCCTTGGGTGAAAACTTTGAACAAGACCATCTCCTTGAGTAATATGCCTCCAACAGAAGTCAATCGCAAAAGAAGAGTGAAGAGCAACCTCACTTGATCTAATAACAGCAAAACTAGGAGAAGGAGGTAGTTCATCAAGAACTAATCTCTAATGCTGTTCAAGATTAACAACAACCACAGCCTAACCTCAGGCTTGAACCTGAGGCTTTCAATTAAATCAGTGATGAATAACCTCGTATGCAAGATAAAGAAGTCCAGGTCTAGGAATTACCATATGAAATAAATGAGCCCAATGTAGTTCATGCTAGCTAGATGGAATAACAGAAACTCGAATTAGCATAGATGGCGAATAACGATATGGGATAGCTGGTACAATTAGACAAGCAGATCAAGAAACAAGTAAAGATCTCTTCACTTCAAGAACTACCTTAACCAGATGAAAATTATCAAGCTGATCTTGACTAAGGTCAAGTCCAACCATCTTTGAAGAAATAACCAGCTAGACCCAGCATGCTTTCTAATTTAAATAAAACTAAGGAAGTGAAACTGAATACCCTGGCTAGTCTCTCATTGGTGGGTGATGCTGTAAAGGACATTACTCATCCTAGTAAAAGTTGCGATGGATTCAGGTCATAAAAGATGTTTTACTAATTCAACCAAGTCTAATTAATTGTGGTGAAGAAGTTAAAGCGAATCAATGTATACCTGGAAAATGCAACGAAGAAGGACAAGCATAATCTACACGAATACCTAAAATTCCTGTAAGAAAAAATCAAGGAAGTGGTTGATCAATAGATCCATGTCATTCTGCATCAAGAAATGGATGTGAACCTAAGGTTCTTCTAAATGATGAATCGACACTTCTAATACAAGGCCAAAGGTAGTTCTGCGAAAGTTAAACAATAAAAAACAAATAAATAAATATACGAACTGTAGTGGTTCGAAGCCAACGAAGGAGAAGTACAAGAAAAAGGTCCTCTAAAAATGACATCTTAGTCCATCTACAATGAAGAAGACTTTGCAAAGCTGCTCAATGATGGTAAGAAGATCTTCAATAGGCAAGAGCTTAAGCTCGACTATGTCTCTGCATTTAAACAAAACTACATCACCTAGAGTAGGGTGATCCAGAGGAATTTCAGCGATAGACACTACATCAAATACAATCTCATCACCCAGAGGGTGCAGACTCTGACCAAAGTTGAATAGCATATACTAGATCAACTAATCTCAACTAACATTGACATTCTTAAGGAAGGTAAAGATTATCCTAGCAAAAGTAGAACTGGGTCCCCCTACTTCTTCTAAGGCAACTATCGAATGATGTACTTCCCACATAAGTACATTGAAAGAAAACATTTAGCTGAAAAAATAATGAGGACTGACCTGGTCTTCGATTTCATCACTCATCAAAAGAAGACCTACAAGTCTTTCAACCATACCGTCATCTTCAAGCAATTGACTCGCTTCAACTATAACAGCTACTACAACTACCTGGATGAACTCATGAACTGTGCCAACATCCTCATGGATGGGATCATCTACAATGATCGAAAATGTTTCGAGGTCCTGCTGGCTTGTCTTTATCCTTAAATCAAGAGCTTGCTATGTCACGAGGAAGCTCTATCGCCAGACTACTTCCCCTTCGTCGAGGTTATGAACAGCATTGTCTTCAATAGACATCTCAAGAACTACGAGTTCAAATGCTTTTACAACTCTACTCCAGACCCCCATCACCTAACAGGTGAACTATTGCCAGATATGAAAACCATCATTGATCAAAATAAAGATTGCTTCAAGCCCATCCTCACTAGAGGTTCTGTGATAGTGGAGTTCTCTTATTTTTTGGCTGGATGTGGTACATCTAAGGTACACTTCGTGGTTCTAAGAGTCAATGACTAAGGGAAGATCTATATGCAGTCAAGCAAGAGCTTGAGTAAGAGAGTGCCCCAGCTATATGGAAGTGGAACTGCTAGCTTCAAAAGCAAGTTCCTGGTGGATGACTTGTTCTTTGATAAAACTCAGGCCAACAGGTACAGGTTCGATGTCTATCGAGTGAGGTTCTATTCTTGTACAAGACTCAAAGAGTAACCTCTATCCAGCTATAATGAAAAGCCTATCGACTACCACTTTAAAATCAGGAACAACCTGGTGCTGTTCTTTTCAAAGTAAGTCATTGAACTTAACTCTCTATAGCTACAGCCTCCTAGAACTAGACAACCTGATTTGTGATCTCAGCAAAGGTCTTGGGAAGTTCCTCAATGTGGTGGGATTTTTGCAACCTCGCTACACCTTCCATAACGGAGCATAGTCTGAGTCTGATGATCATGATGAGGCAATACAGGAGGAGGCCAAGGCTCCTTAACCTAATAAGAATGAGAACCACCTGCTGGAGAATGAATTCATTAATGATACTCTAAACGATTTCACTTGCCAAAAGGCTCTAGCTCAATTAGGTAAGATTATTTTAATGCTTACCCTGGTACCTACAGATCATTTTAAATCGATAATGCCCTACCTGGAGGATGCTAATCATATCTAGTATCTCGACTTCGTACTAGCTTATGCCAAACTAACCTACCAAAAGAATGACTTCAAGGAAAATATCTAAGCAACTAACTTCATCCAGGACATTCTAGATATCTGGGATGAAGAGTTGAAGTCTCAGACCTTCGTCTGTCAACAAACAAAGCAAAGGTACTTTGAATACAACCTCATTCTACTATAGGCTAGCAGTAATTAAAGCAAGCATTACCTTTGATCATATAAGTCAAGATGACTCTCAAAACCTACTACCACTAGACATATGCTACTGGATCAAGAGGGACCTCTATCACGATAAACACACTATCGAAGTCGATGAACATGATGCTCCCAAACTAAGGTAAATTGGCAATTCAATAATGGGGCATCTTCGAAATCAATGCGACATGACCCAGGATACTCTGATTAAGTCCTTGAAATAAAACTTTGCCAACAGTTAATCTAAAAAATTCTAAAAACTAGCCTTCCTAGCAGGGTACATCCATCCAGAAGACATTTCCAAAGAATAGAGTTCCTGGTTCGGCTTTGGTACATGTGAAGGGGTTTCACCAGAATTATAAGATTTAAGTAAGCTGGAAAATAAAACAAACTGCTCAACAAGAGCACCAAGCATGGCCTCCTAGAGGACTAGCTCGATTAATAATATACAGGGTGGTGGTGAGAACATTATTGCAAATCCCATAAATGTGCAGGATGGTGATGAGATCATTATTGAAAATCCCATAGATTTACGGGATTGCTTTATCACCACCTTCGATGCCATGTTCTACCCCAAGGTAGAGCAGTGCTATGATAGTTCAGACTAGGATTAGGAGAAGGTAATGAGAGGACAAAAGAAATCAAAAAAGAGGGGTAGGGGCATGTAGGTCAAAAATTATAGCAGTAATCCTAACCCAAGAAAAGCCTAACGCAATCCATCCTAGACTGTTACTCGAAATCAAGGATAGAGATCTCTCTCACCACCTCAATTGAAAGGTGAAATGCTCTCTCGAGCTATTGTATAGAAGCCCTAGATCTAATCAAGCAAATTGGGAAGTAAGCGTAGTAATGAACAGAGGTAGGTTGACTTCGATGACAATGACGAGGTCCTAGGAGAATCAACAATAAAGATAAAACCATAGCCATTAAAGAAGAGGGTCCAGATGGACCAAGAAGAGCAAAAGAGATTATTGAAAAATGATGAAGTTGAAATTCGGTCTAAGCAGAAGACCTAGATTGGGCGATAGCTTTCATCAGATTCAAAACCCCATAAAAGACAGAGGACCAGGGAGGACCTTGGGCCAGTGCCAGTGTCAGCTAAGAATATGATAGGTTATGATAGAATTAAACAATCTAGTAACCGTTCTATATCGCCTATTGCAGATAGATCCGGCTAGGTGGCTCAGAAGCAAAACAAAAACTTAATTGATGTGGACCTACCAGAAGACGAGTCTATGTCTTACGAGTCACCAAGTGACAAGCGAGAGAAGGGTGATGTGGATGAAGATATCGAGATTGACTGAGGTTGTAACCTCCAAAATATTAAGTTTGCCATTATTTTCTATAATTATATAATTATAACCCACCTGGGTTATATTCAAGTTTATTTATTATTTATTAATTATTATATCTTATCACCAATTAATAACCCCCCTCTATCATCTAGTATTAAATAATAATAAATCTCAAGGTCAACCACTATCCCTATCTCAACATTAAATTTAATTTCTATTGGTTTGCCGGTCTATAAAAGCCGGCGTATCTTAGTCAGTTTAAATCATTTTGACTGAGGTGTATCTTGCCATACTTGATATATTGAATATCGTTACTCTGCCAATTTTTTTCTCAGGTCTTGCTTGGTGGACCTTAATCAAGCACCTTGTCAACTATACTAGCATGGTCCAGCAGCATGCTCACAGAAATTGAGGACCTCAAGCAACCGACAATGTGGCCTAGGTGGGTCTTCATTTAAATCTTT